GATCAACATTGTTGAAAACTGAAGATTGAAGATGAAGACACAATCAAAATTTGTTATTGAGAGGAAATTGAAGATGTGGAATTTTGCCAAGGTGGAGATTTGTTGAATTTGGCAAAACTTTTTGTCCCACATCAGTGGGAAGAGAAGGGTTGGGGGGATTTTCCCCCTATAAAAGAAGGCTTAATGTTTAGGATTTAAACACACCTCTCATTTGCCTTCTCATCTGTTTAAGACATTTGTATCTTCTCTCTTTAGTATTATTTCACTTGTATTTTTGGAGTGAAATAAAATATTGGTTGTGTCCGAGGAGTAGGCAAAATTAGCCGAACCTCGTAAATTCTGGTGTTCCTTTATTGTTGCTTTATTGTCTTATTTATTATTTGGTGGCTGTCATAATTTTTGGTATAGTAGTTGTGACACTATATACATTTGGCTTCCGCAACAATGTGGTCTTTTGCCTAGGTATTCTTTTTAAGGGGTATTTGTATCCAATGCAATGTTGTTTTGGATTGTCTTTCAGTAGAATAGCCTGAAACCTTCATTTGCTAAGCTTGTGAGCTGAGTAGAATAGCCTGAAACCTTCATTTGCTAAGCTTGTGAGCTGAATTCACTGAGACCAACTCTCCTCTTTTTGGTTCCTTTGTGAAATTGTATCAAATGCAATGTTTTGATTTGTTCTCCTGAAACATTGCCTGAAATCTTAGCTTACTGAGTTTATGAACTACATCAGATGCAAGAGTGCGGCTAAAAAAGAGAAAGGATTTAATCAAAATGGCAGCAATTTACAGCCTTTACATCATCAATAAATCAGGAGGGCTTATTTTCTACAAGGTGAAGTTCACATTCTCAAATTTTTTAGCTTTCTTATTTTAGTTTGTTCTTATTTGTGGTTATGATATATACTATATATTTTTGGATAGTTACTCAAGTATAGTTCGTTCCTGTCCACACTTATTTGTGATTATAATGGATGTGTAAAATCATTAGGATTATGGTTCTGCTGGAAGAATGGACACAAATGATACTTTGAGATTGGCAAGTTTATGGCATTCGATGCACGCAATCTCTCAGCAGCTGTCCCCGATTCCTGGTTGCTCCGGCATTGAACTCCTTCAAGCTGATACTTTCGATCTGAATTGCTTCCAATCTCTTACTGGTACTTCTTACCTCCCACCATTTTGATTTTGATGTACTTTTCAGAAACATCTTTTCATTATTAATGTATTTATGAACTTCCATTTAGCATTTTTTTCATTGTACATGTCGTGCTATATGCTGAAAGTGTTCATCATTTGGTGAGGAAAATATGTAGTCGTGCACACACTAAGCTTGAAAGCAATTGAAGCTTCATTTCCAGGGATTAAAGAAACTAAAAAGAAAAGGCTTTAAGTGTTTTGTTGGCCTGAAAGTTAAAAACTAATCTAGTCCTCCAAGCTGGAAAAGGGTAAAAGAAGTACTTTAGGTTCAACATCTGAAGCTTAATGCATAAACAAAAATCCTGCTTATTTGGACTTTTGTGTCGGGAAATACAGTCCAGAATATTTAAGCAGCAGAATCCATCCTATTTTTTGCTTATGTTATTTATATTTCTTCCAATTTAAATCATGGAACCAGGAAACTTCCAACTTGAATATTCAGAAAAGCTAGACGTATGGTGTTGGAGACTAGAGAAAGATGGACAACTAGAACCTAAACCTTTCTGTGAACTTGGTATAGGAGGCCTGGTTCTTCTTGGTACTGTTGTGTAATGTTAAGTTCCTTAGCTCTAAACCCAACCAACACCTTCTTATCAACCCTAAACGCCTAGTGCAATCAAAATGATTTTTGAGCATCTACTGAGAGCTTGTACTCTATTATGGAAACTGAAGCCACTCAAACAATGGTGTAATCTATGCAACTACATCTCAAAATTTTTCTGGAGAGAGATCTCTTACTAGGTGCTAGAACTATCTCGAAGATATGAAATACGCAAGAAATGATCTCCATGACTCAATAGATACAAGATATTATAACTTTAGTCTCAGGAAGAATTGATTATAGGCGTACTGCCTCTTTGTTTAATAAATGACTTGTCCAGAATATGTCCACAGAGCTTTTGAATCGGTGGTCCTGTGGTTGTTCATTCATGTAAAAGAGGACAAAAAGGAAAGAAAGAAAGAAGAGACGTAAAGACTGTGCCTTATAAAAAAGAAGTAATGAATGTGACTGCTTGTTATAACATATAACTTATAATTTTTACCTCAAAAAGTCTCCAACCATGCACTTCTATAGTTCCATTTCACCAACAGGCCACCAAGAGTGTTATATTTGTAACAGTGAATCCAATCACTCCCTTCACAATCAAAAAGCACACAAAAAAATTTAAGATTTCATGGATCTTCAACATCGCTAATAATTAACCTTCAGTAGATGATATTCTTCTTGGATTATCTGTTATACTTTAACTTTGTAGAAATTAGTTTGTTCCTTGGATAGTGATAAGTTGAAAAATAAAGTGAAACATTTCAGTATATGGAAACAAAATTGGCAAATAAAGTGATAATGCAATGGAAATGGTGGATGACACTGTACTACTGTACACACACCATCTTTGGTAGATATTTAACAGACTGGTTCCTATGTGTTTGTGCTTGAATCAAAACTAATTCTTATGTCATTGAGTTGAGTGTTCCATACAACATTTAATTTGACTTGATGATATTCAGTTTTCTCTTTGTCTTTTGATCGATGGTTAAATAATATCTCACCAGTTAAAGAATTAGACATTGTAATTGCAGGGACAAAAGTTTTTGTGGTCAGTGAACCTGGAACTCTGCATATGGAATATCTCTTGAAGTACGTTTACGAATTATACACTGATTATGTCTTGAAGAACCCCTTCTATGAAATGGAAATGCCAATCCGGTGTGAACTCTTCGACATAAATTTAACACAGGCAGTTCAGAAAGATCGGGTTGCCTTATTGGGCAGATGAACTTCTGAAGCTCATATGACACATGTTGTTAGCCTATGATTCTGTAAATTTTTCCGGATAAGTTCCATTAGATACATGTGCAATGTGTGTTTCTTTATTGTTCTGGAATAAATAGTATACATGGTAAATCACAGTGCTGGTGATCTAATATACGGTCTTTGATATACTTTAACCACAGTAACTGCCAAATAGGATCTGTTGTGCAAGAAGAGATGGCAAAGTGATGCTCTCTACATGTCCAGAGGAAATAATCTTGCCGACTTGGTTAACTTATACAATTAGAATTTTGGTCTATGATCCTCTTCTATTTTAAGATAGAAAAGGTTTAATTTGTCATGGTATTGGTGTCAAAATCACCTAAGCCATATGTTGCTAGTGAGTGATAGGAATCATACTAGGAAGAGAGTGAAGGGCTTTCAAGAAAGAGCTAACAAGTGACGGTTCCTTAGTTGGTCTTCGTTGGTTCTTATTAATTTACAAATATTACAAATGAGGCCAATTGCTTTTCTTTTGGGTTTGGGGGGGGGGGGGGAAAAA